GAAATTGAATTAGTGATACTCACAAAACTTGAAGAGACGTGATATTAGTCAATGACATGGGAATTGGTCCAGTGAGACTGTTATTGTTGAGCCGACTATCCTTGCAACAAAAACTCATACCACATTACCATCTTCACATTCTACCGCTACTCAAATTTGAAAATGCCCAACAAGTAATGACTTTGTTGTAGTAGGACAGATAAGCTTTATGATAACTATTAGAGCTAAAAAATATAAATATTACAAATCAGCATGTTAGATCGCATGCATCTGGTAGTTGATTGTTATTTGTAATTCCCAAAAGGGCCACAGGTTTCTAAATAAATATCTAATGTAGCCAGTGCATGATGAGAGAAGAGCAGACTAAGTGTTCTTACAGAAAGCGAAGCTTGAATAGCTTTCCCAGAGAGTCTGGAATTGGACCAGTGAATCTGTTTAGGTAAAGATCCAAGCTCACTAAGTTTGTCAGATTCCCAAGATCACTTGGAACCGGCCCGGTTATGTTATTACTATAAAGCTCCCTGCATTAAGAGTATCATATCTTCATAAGAAAGTTACAATGACCAACGGCGACTGAAGAAGTCCTAATGAAGATAACAAAACTAGATTCTGTGTAAACGACATTTCGGCTATCAGGTATGAGAAATTACAATTCTCTGGGAAACAAGTAGTTACGCAGAGTCATTTCCATTGAGTCTCAATTAAAATTCCATTTTTGAAGGTAAAGCAAAAGCTTACAAGTACTGCAAGTTCTTGAGCTGGCCAAGCTGAGGAACCAATTGACCAGACAAGTCTGCATTCCCGAGATCGCTGAAGAAGCAACAACAAACAATATTAACTAAGCTAAACAAAGAACACTGGTGGGGTCAGGCGAACGCAGAGAGAGAGACACTCACACTCTTATAACACTGTTATCGTTGTTGCACGTTACATGAAACCAAGTACACGGATTAACAAGCGTAGGATCCCAGCTTTGCAAGACATTACCAAGTACACGGATTAACAAGCGTAGGATCCCAGCTTTGCAAGACATTATTTGGATCAACTAGATTAGCTCTCAAACTGTGCAGTGCATCACCTGTTAACATACAAAGCAAAAGCCTAAGCCTTTCTTAAAGAGGAAATACTTATCAAACAAACCAAAACAGTTTTAGTTCCAAAAACGGTTTAAGAAGGCTACCAAATTTAGACTTAAGAGAAATAAAACAAAGTCCACTTTCTAGTGAACTTGCAGATTGCAGTTGCATTTGGCACTCTTAACACAAGCATTGAATAGTTCATCAGGTTGAGTTCTTAATGTGTTTGCTAGTGACATAAATATAGTTTCTACTTTACATGTCGTTATCAGAGAAATAGCATTGAATCAAACAGTAAATCAATTGCCAAATTCCAAACTATATAGCCATAAAAATTCAACCATTCCAAGAAAAGCAAAACAAAACTAACAAGGAAACCAAACTTCAGATTAGTAAAAGACACTGTGAATTTGTAAATTAGCCCAACCATAGATTATGAACAAAACTCTCTATAAAACTTTAAACTTTCAAAGAGAATCAGATTCTGAAAAAGTCCTTTTTGAAGAACAGCGATATTTTGCCAGATGAAAATTTCTATTCTCATGTACCACTAAAACAGGCAAAAAGTACTTACATAAATAATAAATAAAGATAAGAGAATAGTAACAAACCTTCCATGTTAGAAGAGGCAAGCCATAATGAATTAAACAGAAAAACCAACGAGATTAAGCAGACAAGACAAAAAGCTTCAAACTTTTTTCTCCCCATTTCGAAAAAACCAAAAATTTCTCCTCTCAGATCCCAGCAAGACCCATTAAAACCCTATCTTCACAAATCAAACACAAACCATGATCTCTCCAAAGTTCAGAGTTTTCAGATAGAGAAAGAGAGAGAGAAGTTACACTTGATGAAAATTACTCTCATTAATGACAACCGAGAAAAATGCCAAAGGGAAAACACAAGTGGTAACAGCTACAACAGAGAAGTGAAAAAGGTGTGAGATTTTTTTATGGGTTTTGTAGCAAAAAAAGTATTAAGGCAAAAAACAACATTTTTCAAAACTTTTTGTTGCTTTTCAGAGCAAAAAGGTTTGGACTTTCTTTCTCCATTCTTAATGAATGAGTTTTGAGTTCTGTGGTTCTCTTTCAACAGCCGTCTCTCTCTCTAAAAGCCTAGTCTACTCACTACAAAAGTGATGGGCTCAATTTTGGTCTCTCTCTCTCTCTCTCTCTCTGTTAATGGAGCGTGATTGTACCAGTGGAGAGAGAGAGGAAGAGAGAAACAACAAAACACATTTTTTTGGGATTTAAATCTTTTCTTTCTTTGTCAACTTGTAAATTATTATCACAACTATGGAAAAGAAAAAAGTTTAGAATCACATTTTTTGCTTATCAAAAATGGAAGAGAAATTCTAATCACAATTTCTTGGCAAAACTCCATGTTTATAGACAAAAAATTAAGAAAAAGTCTTTGACAAAAAAAAAAATTAAGAAAAAGTAAGTTTTGTTTTTAGTAGCTCATTATTTGTTTTAGTTTTATCTCACTATTTATCTATTTTGTTTTGTTTATACCTTCTTGCCTCTCTTAATTTTTAATTAAATAAATTAGAAAAACAACAATGATTAACAAGATATTTAAGAGAAATAACAAGGTAGTTTATAACTCAATGGACAAAATTGTATTTTGGCCATTTTGGATGATTTTACCGTTTTCAAATTTTTTTGTTTTTTTTTTATTACTGGACGAAAAAATAAATTTCATAATGTGTTATTTTCTTTATGGACATATAATTGTTGAATTAAGTTTTTATATAGTTTACTTTATATAATATATTTACCATAGTCTCGTGGATCAATTTCAAGAGTTCGAATGGTTGCGGCGGTTAGGACGGACAAATTCGTTTGCGGTTTGAACCGTCTTTTGTTTACCATTCATAAATTATAATTCGTATTAGTGCGATATGAAAAAAGTAGAAAAAGTCTGTGACGGTTAGTTTTTTAGAGTGGTTTAGTCCACTTTGTCCACATCATCCATTCAAAACCTAAGAGTATTTGGACTTAACTTTTGTGCATGTGGCAGAATGATCAAACAAGTAGCAAGTAACACAATATTCTTCAACTGGCTTTTGTAGTCTTTGATCAAGATTCATATTCGATAAGTTGTTCCTACCTTATAAATTTTGGCCTACTCTTTTTGTTGGGTTATCGCTTGTACTTTCTCGGTTGTGTTTTTGTTTGTATTTTTTCGTTTTGCTTTTTAGTTTTCTGGTCTATCCGCTATTAGTTTATCTTTGGCTTTGATTTTTTTCGGTCTATCCGCTACTAGTTTATTTTTGGCTTTGATTGGATGATGTGGAAAAAGCGCACTAAACCGTGAATGGACTAAACCATTTTATTTTTAGAACGGACAACAAACTGCCACGGACTAAGTTTATCTCTATATAAAAATGGTGCGTAGTTAATCCGCCGCGGATTTGTTCTATTTTTTTAATTCGTACTACTACGCATTATAGTTTATGAATGATAAACAAAAAGCGGTTAAACAAAAAGCTGTCCAAACCGCAAACGGATTTGTCCGTCCTAACCGCCGTAACAATTTGAACTCTTTGTATCTTTTATCAAAATTTTCTAAAATTGTATGCATACTTAACATTATTCCAAAAAAAAAAATTTGCGTACTCTTAAAAGAATCATACTTTCATATTTTGAAAATATCTCGATTCATATTCACTATGAGCTTAATGAATTTAAAATTAATCATTACCCTTTTCCACGTATCAAGAAGAATAGATCAAGATTAAACCGGTTAGTTACTCCATGTATTGGGAAAATAAAAAATATAAAATTGAAGGTGTTATGTAGGCTATAAAGCAAGTAAAAACGTTGCATATGATTGTCCTCATGCTCACTTGTTCATGTGCTCAAGGAGCTCAAAGATTACCTTATCGACCATCATTATACAAAGAAAATACGTAAAAAGTATTAGAGTGCTTCGTATAAACTTAACATGACCAACATGTACTTAACTCGGTATACTAATACTAGTTAGGAGATGGTAAAATCTATATGTACGAACTTTCTCTCAAAGAGAAAAAGAATGAGCATGATGGTATTTTTCGAGAAAATGATGATCAGATATGTGATTGAAAATTGAGGGATTACATCTCTTCTGTTTGTCGATTTTTATTAATTCCTAACCAAATTTCGTTGCTTGGGAGGGTTTTCAAAAACAACCTTAAAACATTTCACGAGTTTGCTACTTTTGCAAAAGATACCTTCTAATGGTTGGATCCACTTGACGAAGTTATTTTTGAACAATAACCAACTTTTTAAAATTCATCTAAAATCGTCAATCTCAGCTAAAAACATACTAAAACTCATACCAGTTTGAAAAGTTGGTTGAATTATACACTATCTGGTAAAGTGACTTTATAACAAAACTTTTAGATGTAATGTTTTCGGGTAGATGTAGTTTTTGTTAGGCAAAATTTTCTTGCCCAAACGGGACTCGATCACTGCCCGAAAACAGTCAAAACGGCCTTTTCGGATATAAATCAAATCGTGTGGAAAGTGACGTTAGATAGTTGTAATCTAATATATCTATTATAAACCCCGTTTCATATACAAGTGGACTCCACCACACGATTTACAAACGGATGATTTTAGATAAATGGACAATGCGATTTACAAACGCGTTTTATTTGTGGTTATGGTTTAATTGCGTTTATGTTTACACTCATTTTGGCTATAATTAACTAATTTTTTTTTCTCCCATTTGTGAATATTTAATATGAAAATACAACATGCAAATAGACTGTTTTCATTTTAAATACTTTTGTTTTGTTGGGTTAAGCGTAAACAGCAAATGCAAATAGTACGTTTTCATTTTATTTTCGTTTTGGGGTTTGCAAAGGTATACGGTTTTTATTTTTTTATTATTACACTCATTTTTCACTAACTACATTGAAATTTTGATCGGTCTAGCAAGAGAATTGATAGAGTTAACATTTTGGAAGGCCAAATATAAATCTAATAACGTAAGTAACAAAGAATCAGTAGAATTATGATATATAATTCCATAATTTCCATTCATCTATTAAAAGCATTGATACCACAAAGCTGATCTAAGCTCTTTTTTCACCGGCCGGAGAGAAAAACCGGTTCAAGGTTACTATCAATCGACTCTTTCACGGCATCAACAAGCAGCTGCGTCTTCCGGCTAATGCTCAACCAAAACCCATCTGGTTTAGCTCCTCTGTTTTTGATTTCTCCAACCAACCGAGCAAACTCTATAACCATACACGCCTCTTGTGGAAGCTCAGTCATAACTTTATGCTCACTAACACAACCTCTAGCACTCGTAGTAAACGCAGCCTCGGTTTCCCGATATGGTATAACAAAATCATGAACACGAAGAGTACCTTTCGTACCAATCGCAGTTATCTCCATCGTTAAATTCCCCAAGAAAGAACAGTACATCGTTGCACTTATCCCTTCTTCCCAATCAAACAACGCACCACAAGAAAGAACGATTCCCGCATCGTTTAACACACAACCGGGTAAAGCAGTAACGGTCTTCGGAAGTTTAAAGTCGTTGGCAAGAAGAATCGCTTGGATCGTATACCATCCAGCATCACCGAGAGCTCCAAGCCCATCAAGACCAGGCTTTACACGAATATCATGTTTTAAAAAATCATCATTCGCTGCAAATGAGAAACAACTATGTACCTGCATAAGACCATCGCTCTATACTCAAAATATCACGAAACAAGATTAAGTTACTAATTTAGGTTCTTGATAACATAGACACTTACAGATTTAATCTGACCAAAACTCTCAAAATCGTTGACAAATTCCTTAATCTTATACGTTCTAGGATTATGCATCCACTGAGTTCCATCCATAAATTGAACACCATTAACCTCACAAGCTTCAACGATCTGATCAAACTCAGATACGTTTAAAGCAACTGGCTTATCAAGGAGTATATGCTTACCCTTACGAGCGGCGCGTGTAGCCCACTCGAGGTGGAGGCGAGTGGGGATAGGGAAATAGACGGCGTCAACGTCGGGATCTTCTAGAAGTGATTCGTAGGAGATGTGAATCTTTGTATTCGGAGGGAAATTGTTGGATTTAGTAAATGATTTTGCTTCTTCGATGGAGCTTGTGGTGGCTATGGCGGAGATGGTAGCGTTTGGAGAGAGGTTTATGGCTCGAGAGAGTTTGCGGACTATGTTTGTGCAGGTTAAGAGTCCGAATCGGATCTGGTTATCGCCGGACATTGGCTTGAATTTTTTTTGCTCCGGTAAGAGAAGGGAGAGAGTGAAGAAGAATACGACTCGGTCACTTAATTTTCTATTTATGTTTTAAATCCTTTTTTTAGTAATTTTGAAGATGTTGATATTGACTAAGGTCTACGGGTATTCGGTTCTGATTCTTTCCGTATTTTAGGAAAGAAATTGAAACAATTTCGGTTCGGTTCTGGTTATTTCAGTTTTAAAATTTAAGATTTATTCAGATATTTTCGGTTAGTCGAATATTTTTGAGTATTTTTTAGATATTTTTAATATTTTTTGACGTTTTCTGGTTGGAAGAGCGTACAAAACAAGGACTCTGTTCAGCTGACTTGAACTGATAGACCCTTATTGTATTGGAATTTAGCGCCCATCTTTTGACCGCCTCCCTACTGTTTGTACTGGAGCCCCTGTTGGCGATGGATCTCCTGGTTGACCGGTCCTGAGATGTCGGTCTTTCTCGTCAGGTCTATGTTCTTGCTTACAATTCAATCTTTCCAATCGGGTCTAAAATGACAATTTATCCCAGACAAACAAGTCTCCTCTAGCTTAAGGAGTAGTCCATAGCTAATAATCTATGGTACTAGCTTATTCCAGTCATTGGCCTGCTGTATCAGTTTATTCGACTACTTCCTGAAATATTTTTTTAATATTTCGAATATTTTTGATTATTCTATCAAAAAAGTTAATATTTTTGGATATATAATCAAATTTCAGATATTTTCGATTTGATCGGGTTCGGTTCTTATTTTTTAGGTTCTAAAATTTTAAATCCATTTAGATTTATGGAAATGGATTTACCAATTCCATCATACAACTTGGTTCTAAAAAAAATCAAGTTGTTTAAATTTAGATTTATGGAAGAAAAAAAAAAAGAGAAGAAAAAAACAGATTTTGTTTCTAATCTTTTCTCACTTATACATAAAAAATTACTCAACAATTAGCGCGTAACAAACACCTAATTTGTATGATGCTATAAAATTTCACATGATTTGTATGGTGTCGGCAACTAGAAACTTCATTAAAAGAGTGGCGGCGACTAATGGAACGCAACCGCCTCAGGGATCACTAACAGAGGAAGGGGAAGATAAGCTTTAAGCTTTCTTTTGGAAGCTGCCATGAGTAGAACAGAGGAAACTTCGGTTGGTTGCGTCGTCGGAATCTGCTCTCTGGTTTCTCAAGGTTGCAGATTCCTACGAATCCTACTCTCTTTCCTCAGTGGTAACAGTTCCACAAATCGTGATCACAATCACCAGAAGTCAGCCTGAAGCTGCATCTTCGAACACAACCAATTATCTACAACCTCAAGACATAGATGAATACAAGAGCTCGAATACACAGAAGCTCTTCACGATTATGCTTTCATAAAACCAAACCAAGACGGTCTCTGTTGATTCTTGGAACTTATCTTGCGAGGCTTTGTGAATATTGAAACCCAGAAGATAGATATGCGGAAAAAAGCAAGGACAATAGAGAAGACAAGAAACTCCTTTATCACGAATTATTGTTCTTTTACTCTTTCAAACTCTCTGTACATATTCAAAGATTCATATATTAAAATAGGTCAATAATCCCATGAACACTAACGTGGATCATGGTTTCTTCTTCTAACTTACCAGTAATTAAGAGTTCAAGAAAACCACCACTAGTCTTTCAAGAGAAGACGTTTCTACCTGAGACTCGAACTGTGGCTATGAACACCCAGAAGATGGCACACAAGGCACCCACGATTGATAAGAGAAGAAAACCTCTGTTTCTGATACCTTTCTTTGCTATGGTAGTAGTCACTGGCGTTACATTAGCCTTTCCATTGAACCTCATACGGCTGAAGCTAGACATACGTACAAAGGTTCGGTTAAGAGGACCCTCACACGCAGAGGCTGGCGTTGAAGGTATTGAGTCCATTAATGCCCACAGAGCCGATGAGAACTGGCTTGTTGGTCCACCACCATTTTGGTGTTCCTGGCCTTGGGCATTCACACTCATAGTAGGATTGGTGGAATCGGGTATCACACCTAAGCAAATAAGGAGTATTTACAATGTATCAGTGGAAAGACTTAGGCTTAAGTTATTAGGTTTTTAGATATTAACAAGAGGGTTTGATAATCGAGGAATAACAACAGCCCGAGTATCATATATATACATGTCTTGGTTTAGGTCAAAGACAAATGCAGAAAAGAAATTCGTGCTTAGTGGAAATAGCTTAGCAGAAAACAAAAGGTGAATGCTCCGAGACAAGCACGAGTCTAAGTACCTGATGAGGGTGAAGCAAATGCTCCAGAAAAAGATTGTTGTTGATCAAAGAGAATGGCTTGATCATCTTGGAACCATATATCGTTAGTGAATTGATCGAGGGTTGTACTAGGATCCATGATGTTGTCCAGCTGGTTCTCGGGAGTCTGGTCCTGGAACTGTTGATAAAGGAATTGCTGTTTTTGGTCTGATGTGTTGTTAGCAAAATTACTCGGATAAGACAGATCCGTAGAAGTCCCTGATCAATAGGTTCCATATCCAAAGACATGGAAACATCATGGAACAATTGGTCAAACTCGTCAAAATCGCCGAATCCACCATGGTTCGATAACTGTACAGCTTTCTCAGTTGAAGAAGCTCCAAGTTCAGGGATCAGAAGATCATCCATTTCAATGTAATCCTCCTTCTCAAACACCAGAGGTGCTATACCAGAGGTCTTGGGAGCTGACGTGACCTCAGCGGTCTCTAATGAGTCAAAACTTGAAGGCCTGTTGTATGGCTGATCGTTTGGCAAGAACTCTCTAGCAGAATTATTCATCAATGTGCTCTGCAGCTCTTCTTCACTATTCACCTGCAAGCACAATCATCAAATTAGTAAGAAAATCAAAACAAAATGAACATGTTCAATAAGGCCTACTCCAATAGATTCGTAGTAAAACCATCTTCCTCATTTAAAGAGAGAAGAAACTGACCTGAGGAATACATCTTGGAGGAACCCCAGGTGCATTTGGGATTCCATTGAGAAGCTCATCAATATCCTCTAACTGAAGACTAACAGGATTGAAAAGTCTCCTCCCATCCACACGACGAGTATCTTCATAACGAACCACAGGTTGCTCCGGTACAGCAATAGCGTTCTCATCTTCATTATCATCATCAACCCATTCCTCTTCTTGGAACGGAGCACCATACTGTTCACCATTTTTAGGACCAGCCCCACTTTTCTTAAACAACTTATAAAGAGCATAGTAATCCTGAGGGTTCTTACATCTCCCTAGTTCATCTTCATCCATAGTATACTCATGCATCACCCAATCAGTCCGCTCACCATTAGGAGCCCGACCTCTATAGAAAACAAGAGTCTTCTTGAGTCCAACCGATCTTGAATTGTACTCAATGACTCGATCCTTCCCGGTCGCCTTCCAATACCCAGTTTCAGTACCTCTACTTGACCTAGCTGCGTTCGGATACTTCCTACTCCTTGGAGTGAAATAGAACCACTGTCTATCTCCCGTCTTCAACATCGATTGACCTGTATCAAACAAAATGAAATCAGTTAAAGCATAACGCAAAAGCAAATCGATAACGATCAATATCAAGCTACTGTAATTTGTAAACGAAAAAAAGATGAAGTTTTTACCAGGCAATTCTTCAGGATCCATTTTATAAACATCAACAACACCGATAACATTAACTCTAAGCCTCTTCCTACAAATCTTCCTCTTAAGATAATACATCACAAGCTCTTCATCAGTCGGGTGAAATCGAAAACCTGGAGCACTGAATTTGCCTCCTTTGAAACACGAATCGGGTGAAGAATCCGCCATCTACGTAACAAATCAGAGCCGATCCCTAAACAAAAATGAAAATCCCCGGCGACGAAAAAAGAACCGATCGGGTCAACGAGGGAGAAAATCTTTCTCTCTCTCAGAAGACGTAAGATCTCTTCTCTTCGTCACTCAAGATCCAGAAGAGAAGATGAATCAAACCTACATGACAGTGAGAGCAACCGCCGTGATTGAACGAATTGTGAACTCCTAGGGTTTGATCGGCCGGAGAGAGAACAAAAACGGAAAAAAAACGAGAAATGAGATTTTTTGTGTAGATTGAGGTATTTTTTGGTTGGCTACCAGATGTCTCAGCTATTTCTGCTGTGAGAACCTACTGGGCTCGAAATACACTTTACCAGCCCATTAATTTGAGATGCCCATTATTGTAAGATCATACAGTGTTTTAAAGCTTGACCAGTGAATGGGGTGAATTCTAGGAATGAGAAAATAAACCGAACCGAAACCGAAGAAAAAAATCGAATCGGACAAAAAATTTGAAAATAACAGAATAGATACTAAATTCTATAACCGAAATAACCGTAATCAAATCGGTACCGTACCGAAATATCCGAAATACAATTATATTTTAAAATATATTAGTTATTTATAGGCCAAATAATCAAAAATACTTGAAATATATATAAACAGTAAAAATACTCGAAAATAACCGAAAAATCTGAAAATACTCAACTGAAAAATATCCAAAGCAAAATAAGCGAATTGATACTAAATTTTAAAACCGAAAAAACCGAAACCGAATCGAAATTTCAAAATACTATAATGGATATTAAATTTTAGAACGGAAAACGAACAGAACCAAACCGATAACCGAATGCCCAAAACTAGGGAATTCTGTAAACGGCATAGCAAAATCTTAGACCGGTTTTTTTTGTAATTCTTTCAAACTTTAGACCCATTTATTACGTAAATTATCCTAAGTTCTAGGCAAAAAAATTTCTTTTTGTTTCTTAGCTAATTTACTACCTCCATTTGTCTCTGCATGCACAAATTGACGCTATATTTTATCCATCAACCTCTAAAGCTGACACGACCTTATTGCCTATAATATGGAGCCGCACCACGATAAATCTTTAAGACACCAAAAAAGAAACAAAAAACCTCTATTATATGTTCTTCGATTATGTATGCACAATTATAGCAAATACTCGGCAAATTTCACACAATAGCTATTTTACTATTATTTAATTATGTAAAATAAAAAATTATTTACAATTTGAAATCACGATTACAATACGATCATGTGAAACGTCATCAATTGTTTCTATTAATTTTTTTTAATATTAAATTTGTTCTGTTTTGGAACTTTGGAGATTGTGTGCTAAATTTGGCAACAAAACTTAATTTTGTGCTATTTGTGATAAATTAATTATTTTTTTTAATATTTTATCTCTTATTGATACACTAATTTTCTAATTGGTCAATATGTTAAAATTGTAGGAGAAAAATATAAAGTTCATCAAAAATCTCATTGCGAAAAAGGGATTTTTTTCAACCATCTTTCACTTCAGGTGGCCACACAAACTGGACAACACCTTTGACTTATAACTTAAAAGTTAACAATCTTCAAATTCTTGTCAGACACGCAAGAGGTTCAATCAGTTTTTAAAATTTAGGTTTTAGGGGATGAATGGTGGAGACCTAGGCAACCAGGGGATGAACGAGCCTCTATTACCAACCGATGCACCGCAGTCACATCTACTTATTAGGGTTTGCTCTCAAGTTTCACTTAGGGGTTTTTTTTTTTTTTTTTTTGTGGGTTCTCTCTAAGCATTTTTCTTGTAGGTCCAAAATATTCTTCTGTCGTGAGAACACCGGAGATTACGCTTAAGGGCCAATCCATATAGTTTTTATAGTCTTTTCTCTTCACCTGAGATTTAGCTTCTCTCCTAATGCTGCTTAATATGATAACCCATAAGATATGCAATCAAAAGCATCAGAGAATCCAGAAGAAAAAAAAAAGCCATTTGTTAAGAATTAAACTCTATACATAACCAAAGATTCATATATCAATTCCGTGATCACTAATGAGGATCATGCTTTCTTCTAATTTATCCTGAAACAAGAGTCTAGGTCACGACAAGACAGGTCTTCCCAAAACTCCAACTGTGGCTATGAACACCCAGAAGATGGCACACAAAGCACCCATTATTGATAACAGAAGAAAACCTCTGTTACTGATACGCTTCTTTGCTACAGTGACTTTTCTACTAGTCACTGACGTTCCGTTGAACCTGATCCGGCTGAAGCTAGACATACGCACAAAGTTCTGGTTAAGAGGACCTTCACAGGCCGAGGCTGGTGTAGATGGTATTGATTCCAATAATTCCCACAGAGCTGATGAGAACTGGCTCCTTGTTCCACCACCATTTTGGCCTTCCTTGTCTTGGGCATTTACACTCATAGTGGGATTCATAGACTCAGGCATCACACCTAAGCAAATTGGTATTCACAAAGTATCAGTAAAAAGGCCATTGGTTATTATGTTTCAAGATCTTAACAAGAGGGTTTGATATTAACAAAAAAACAGAGTATCATATACATGTCTTGGTTCAATTCGAAAACAAATGCTTCGTGGGAAATAACTTGGCAGACAACATAAGTGAATGCTCTGAGATGAGCATGAGTTTAAGACTTTAAGTACCTGTTGACTGTGAAGCGAATGCTCCAGAAGAAGATTGTGGTTGAACAAAGAGAGCAGCCTGATCATCTTTAAACCACATATTGTCAGTGAACTGATTAATAGTGGTACTAGGATACATGAAGTTATTCAGCTGGTTCTCAGGGGCCTGGTACTGAAACTGTTGATTAAGGTATTGCTGTCTCTGGTCTGATGTGTTATTAGTAAAATTACTCAGAGAAGACAGATTTGTAGAAGTTCCCTGAAAAACAGGGTCATCCAAAGACACGGGAATGTCATGGAACAATTGGTCATATTCATTAACATCACCAAATTCACCATGTCTCAAGAACTCTGTGGATTTCTCAGTTAGAGAAGCTCCGAGTTCAGGGATCAGAAGATCATCCATTTCAATGTAGTCCTCCTCCTTCTCAAAATCTAGAAGAGGTGCCATACCAGAGGTAGCCTCAAATGAGTTTGCTGACTTCAGTTGGGACTGAAAACTCGAGTGCCTGTTGTATGGCTGGCCATTTGGCAAGAACACTCCAATTTTCCGGGGGTCAAGAAACTCTCCAGAAGAATTATTCAGCAATGTGCTTTCTATCACTTCTGCGCTATTACCCTGCAAGTACAAGTATCCATTTAGTGAAAGAAGCACAACAGAATAAGCGAAGGAAACAAAAAGAAAATCCTAAGCCAATACGTTGGTAGAGAAACCATATTCCTCATTGCAAGAGAGGAGAAACTAACCTGCGGAACACCAACAAACTCATTGAATTGTCTTGAGTTAACCCCGGGTGCATCTGGGACTTCATTGAGAAGCTTCTCGATATCCTCTAACTGAAGATTGACAGGACTGCAAAATTTAGTATCATCCACACGACAACTGTTCTCATAACGAACCACAGGATACTCCGGTGCAGCAACATTATCTGCGTCTTCACTATCACTATCAACCCATTCTTCTTCTTGAAACGGAGCACCATACTGTTCACCATTTTTGGGACCAGCCCCACTTTTCTTGTACAGCTTATAAAGAGCATAATACTCCTAAAGAAAAAAGAAGAAAGACAGATTAGTTATCGACAAATAAATCTAAAAGACCAACGGATACGTTTTGGCTATAATACTACCTTGGCGTTCTTACATCTCCCAAGCTCTTCTTCATCCATCGTGTACTCGTGCATCACCCAGTCAGTTCGCTCACCATTAGGAGCCCGACCTCTATAGAAAACAAGAGTCTTCTTGAGTCCAACCGATCTGGAATTGTACTCAATGACTCGATCCTTTCCCGTTGCCTTCCAATACCCAGTAGCAGTACCTCTGCTTGACCTAGCTGCGTTTGGATACTTCCTATTCCTTGGAGTGAAAAAGAACCACTGTCGATCTCCCGTCTTCAACATCGATAGACCTGTTGCATTCAATGTGTTAGACAACTAATTCCAACATCGTGAACTATACGAAACAGCTTAAAATGAAATCATTGGAGCATAAATGAGAGTCAAGATCGTCAAAATCATCGATCCAAATTCGATAGTGTATAAAAGACGGTTCCTTGTCATATACTCAACAAATCATCAACCACCAAAACCAATTGATCAAAGTAACATGAATCAAAATCGAAATCGAGTAACGAAAAAAAGACGATGAAATTACCAGGCAATTCAGAAGGATCGACTTTGTAAACATCAACGACACCAATGGCGTTGATTCTAAGTTTTCTACAACAGATCTTCCTCTTAAGATAATAAACCACAAGCTCTTCATCAGTCGGGTGAAATCGAAAACCTGGAGCGCTAAACTTACCAGCTTTGAAACACGAATCAGGAGAAGAATCAACCATCTCCGTAACAATCGATCGGGTCAACGAGAAGTAAACCCTTAAAAACAGAACACAACCTAAAACCTTCTTTCTCTCTTCGTCTCTTTCAGTGGAGACAACGAGATCAAACGTACATAACAATGGAAGAAACCGCGGCGAGCGAGAATTGAAAATTCTAGGGTTTTTGATCGGCGAGAGAGATATAGATAAAGGAGAAAGATTTTGGATTGAGTCAAAAGAATGATTTTGGGATTATTATGTGTCAGCTTTTATTTTCTGACTAACGAAGTTTCCGAGAATCTTACTGGGCTTTTGGAATACGCCCAAGGGGCCGACATTTATTTATTTATTTGATTTTTAGTAGTTGTTTGTTGTTAGAAAGAAGAAAAGGTTGAAATCCACTCACTACTACTTTTCAAACTTATATCAACATCACATAATCGCATATAATCGTATAAAATAAAGTTAAATTATATACTAAAAATTGTAGAGTGAAAACTTGGATTATAAAAGTTTGTAGAATAATTCACTTAACATTTAGGGGAAATTGTTAAAAATACCCCTTTTGGTGTGCCCCTTTTCAAAAATGCTCTTTTTAGATGTCCATTTTAAAAAATGCTCCTTTTTAAATCTGAAATTTTTATAAAGTTTTATTAGGTTTATAAGGTACTTATGGATTGTAACTACTACTTGAAGACTCGATCCAAGTATTTATAAGGTTTATAAGGTGTTTTAAAAGGTTTTACAAGTTATTTTAAAGGATTTTTAAGGTTTTTTCAAAGGTTTTACAAGATGTTTTAGAGGTTTTTAAAGGTATTTAAAATACATTTATAAGGTATTTATAAAGTATTTATAAGATTTTAGATACACAGAAATGTAATTTGGGTATGTTTTAATAATATTACATACATATTTGGGTAAATCTTATATTTTTAAGAGCATTTTTTATAAAGTTTTTAAAAAAGGTATTTTTGAAAAGTGGCATTGAAAAAGTGGCATTTTTGCAAAAGCCCCATTCTATGTGATTGAATACGTTGTGTGAGATAACATAATTTAATATTACATTAATTATATATATATATATATATATTTATATTTATATTTAGTAATATTTTAGTAAGTTTTAATATATATTATTTAATATTTGATAAAAGTATTGAAAGTATATTAGAAGTGCTTAGAAGTTGTGAAAGTTTTAAATATTATTTTGGAAAGTGACATATTTTTCATTATAAGCAAAAAAAAATCCTACAATTGTTAATTTTTATAGGTAAAATAAAGAAAAAAATAATTTATCATGAAATAAACAGTAATACTTCCACTTATTTGCATACTAAATTTTTACTATTATTTCTTAGACGAAAACATAAATCATGCGTTTTAGGTTTTGTTAAACATATATTATGCAAAAATTTGATTAGGACCTCTTGCCGAATTGCATTAGCAAACATCAATTCGTCACAATGTGTGTTACCAAACGAAACTTGTGTTTGAAAAAAAATAAACAGCATGTTGAAAGTTTATGGCAAAGTACAAAGAATTTTTGCTTTGCCGTATTATGTTCACTGGGTTCAAGAAGGAAGGGGTTGTGATAGTTCAGCAGAGGAGTGTTGATCAGGGTAAGCGGCCGATTTCACGGTTGGACACGATTGGTACTTAAAGTGAATATGCCGGATGGACATGTAAATGTTAGTCTAAGGAAACATCAAACAAGCTTAAGTGCAAATCGTCAAGGTAAAGGATAAAGCATACTTGCAGAGCCGGCCCTTGACACAGGCAGATGAAGCATCTGCTTGTGGCCTCCAAATTATATAGTTGATATTCGGCCATTTTTTTCTGAAAGTTTCATTGGTTCTACTGGTTAAGACTAAGAGTTACTCTTCCAAGGGTCAAGGGATCGAATCCCCATTTCATTTTTTTCCTGTTTTTCAAGTCTTTTTCAAAAAAAGTAATGTATAGTAGGCCAAAAAAAAAATGGGCTTGTGGCCTTAATATCTTAAAGAGCCGGCTTGCATACTTGGATATATATGTATATATCATTCAATAAAATGAATAATTACGAAGTTTCCTTCAATATATCATTCAATAAAATCAATATTTATGAAGTTACCTTTTTATCGAGTCAAAAATAATAATCTACAACCCTAAATTTTTTAGTAAAACTTATTAAACAACTTTAGTAGGTTCGTAATTTTTCCACATAAATTAATTTCTTTCGTGTAATATGGTAGCTTTATTTTCTATATCTTTTTTTGGTAACTTAATGAGGTCTTAGTTCCCTATAAATACATGCCTGTTGTATACATCAAAATCCATCATAAAAAAAGAAAGAAAAATCAAGATCATTGGAGAAACAAAAGGTATTCGTTTAGTAGCTTTAAGCAATATCAAGAACCACTCATAAAATCATTAAACATAGGTTATATGCTAATTCTTTAAGCTTATAATGATATCTTATTGTCTAAGGATTCATAAATTCTAATTTTTTTTCTTTTATCTAACATATAAACAGTTTTATATTGGGGAAAGGCTTAAAATACTCAAACTTCTTTATTGATATACATTTGTTAAAAGAAAATATGAAGTATATCTTTTCCTTATTTATATATAATGAAAATAATGAATGATTAAACTATTGTTGTCTGCCTGATTTTTAAATCCTAAATTTAAATTTTTTACTCAAAATCATATGAGATATAAAAATGGTTTAATATTTTGTATGGAAAGATAATTATATTTTCCCCGTTAATAAGTGTAAGCTTAACAAACAAGATTTTGATGCTTTTCTTGCTTTATGATTCATAGAATATCAATCTTTGGAATAAGAGCTAATGGAAAACAATGAAGAATTGAATGCCCAGCCTGAATTATTAGGCATAAGTAAGAATTTTTTTTTTTTTTTTAAATTTTCAATGTACTTATTTCATACTATGTAAATATAAATTTTTGTTTTATTAGTTGATAGAACCCAGACCTATATGTATGAGCAATTGTGGAAAATATGTGCCGGACCTTTGTGTGATCTTCCAAAACCTGGAGAAACGATTTATTATTTTCCTCAAGGGCACATTGAGCTCGTGAGTCTCTCTCTCTCACTATATATATTTTCTCCCTTTTGCTTTCCTGTCTTGTTTTTGAAACATTTTTGTGGCAATTTTCAGATTGAAGCATCTACAAAAGATGAGTTGGATCAGATAAGGCCACATTTTGATCTTCCATCTAAGCTTCGATGTTGTGTTGATGATATTCAACTTAAGGTATGTCTCTTAGTATTCCAGGGGATAAACATAAGTTATATAATATATTATTTTGTATGTTATATTTCATTGTAGAAAGATGTAATTTGTTGCTTGTATTATGTTTATTATTAGATAGACCAAAATACGGATGACGTCTACGCAGAGATTTATTTAATGCCAGATACAACAGTGAGTGACCCCAAAAACGCTAATTTCAAAGTTAATTCTAATTTTTATCAATTTTCTCTAATCGATTTTCTAAAATTGTAAATCTTTAGGACGTTATAACTCCTATTACTACTATGGATAATCAAAGACCAATGGTTTATTCTTTTAGTAAAATTTTAACTTCGTCTGACGCCAACACACATGGTGGATTATCTATTCTTAAAAGACATGCCACTGAATGTCTTCCTCCGCTGGTATTTATGTTTAGTTTCTCTGTTTAATCTCAAATTTAAGTTTCAGTATAACATAATCTACTAATAAAATTTCTCTAGGATATGTCCCAACGAACGCCTATGCAGCATCTTGTTGCGAAAGATCTCCATGGTCGAGAATGGACATTCAAGCATTCTTTTAGAGGTATTGAATATTTTTCTTCACCAAGAACTGATAAAATTTTGATTAATAACTAATATCCTCTTTTTTGCATGTAGGTACACCGCGGAGACATCTTTTTACCAGTGGCTGGAGCTTATTTGCAACAACAAAAAGATTGATTGTTGGGGATGCTTTTGTATTCCTTAGGTATGTTTTTGTCTTTTTACGTCATCTCTTTTCGTTTTTGGATTTTAGAATTTAAACAATTTTTTTGTTGTTCCAAAACTATTTTCTTTTTGTTCAAGAGGAGAGAATGGGGAGCTAGGAGTTGGTATTAGGCGAGCAAGGCATCAACTAGGCCACAAACCTTCATTAGTAATATCAACACAGTGTATGAAAGATGGAGTAATTGCTTCAGTAGTAAATGCTTTTAAAAGCAAATGCAAGTTCATTGTGGTTTATAAGCCAAGGTGATTCAAAACACTACTTATTTTTACATTTATTAGTTTGTCAAAATACCATGATATTAGTTTCTTCAACAAGTATGTTTACATTTTTTTTTTTTTGATATAATATTAGTTCAAGTCAATTTGTTGTAAATTATGACAAGTTTGTTGATGCAATGAACAATAAGTTTATTGTTGGTTCGAGATTTAGGATGCGGTTTGAGGGTCAAGATTTTTCTGAAAAAAGGTAAAAGTCTAATCAAAACTTTTTTCTCTGTTTCCAAAAGTTGTTATTTGCATAACACATTTTGTTTCATTGACTTAGATACTCTGGGACGATTATTGGTGTAAATGACATGTCTCCTCATTGGAAAGATTCGGAATGGCGAAGCCTACAAGTAATATTATGTTCACACTTTCATTACATTCTTTCAACAATACGTTTTTGAGTGTAATAAATAACATATGACTAAACAAGTATGTTCTTGTAGGTGCAATGGGACGAGCTTTCACCATTTCCAAGACCTGATAAGGTTTCACCATGGGAAATTGAACATTTAATCCCTTCGTCAAGTATTTCCCAGCCAACTGTACTCCAGAAAAAACGTGCACGTCAATGTAATGAAATCGGTAAAAGGAAACGTTCTTATAATCATTTGTTTGAAAGTTAAAGATTCCTTGTGAATACCTTTCTCATTATAGTTATTTCCATATATAGGTTCAACATCATCGAATCTTTTGACAGGCCAAGAAATTGGACAATCGAGCTTGAGTTCTCCGAAGAGTGTTCCTGAGTTTAGTTGTCGCGATGCAGTTGAAGATTCCAAGTTTCCTTCTGATTGGCTAATGAGTGACTTAGTCCCAGCCATACCTAAACCAAACAATAACAACAACCAATTGGTTCAACAAACGAAAGAAAAGATAACAACTGAAGCAACCACTAGTTGCATATTGTTTGGAGTTGATCTTACCAAAGCCTCAAAGACCAAAGATCCCATGGGTCCAATTGAAGCAACCGAAACAACCACTAGTTGCATACTCTCTCAAGATAAAAAACTTGACCAAACCCTAACTTGGACATCACCAAAAGAGGTCCAAAGCAGTAAATTCAATTCTACTAGACGTCGGATAAAGGTAAGCATAAGTCTTTATCTTCGTACTATTTACAAATGACCTTCTATTTATAATGTGAAAGTGAAAATAGTGCATTTCAAACAAGCTAAGCATTCGTTTAAAGAAAAAAAAATATTTTAAGAAATTTTGAGTTCGTATACATATTAGGTACCTTAATATTTTTACACACATATATAAATTTGTGTAAAGCTTTCATGAATCTACTCAGCTCACATGATCTTGATGTGGTGTTATCGAACAGGTTCAGATGCAAGGTGTAGTCATTGGCAGAGCTGTGGATTTAACTGTTTTTCATGGATACAATCAGTTGATACAAAAACTAGAAGAACTCTTTGATCTCAAAGACGAGTTACGAAGCCGCAATCAATGGGAAATAGTTTTTATAAACAATGAAGGAAATGTGATGCCTCTCGGGGATGATCCATGGCCGTATGTTTTCTCTATCTTTCTATATATTGAAAACCATGTTAAATATTAAGAGAAAATGTTTGATTTTGAGGGTTATGTACATGCAGTGAATTCTGCAATATGGCGAAAAAAATATTTATAGGCTCAAAAGAAGAGATAGAAAAGATGAAGTCCCGGAACAAAGTTTCTCAAGCTAAATCAACAGTTTTAACATCTTCTTCTGACGTACCACCAAACGTCAAAGCATAAGGATAAGAGAGTCCCAGAATTGGAAAAAGGGTTTTGTAACTGACAAAAAAAAAAAAAAAGGGTTTTGTTTTAAAATTTCGTAAAGAAAAAAGACAGTTTTTTGTTTGTTCCGTGATGTAATAAAGGGTTCGAAAATGTAACCCATGTTTTAATGTTATTTTTGTCGACAGTGATGTTGTTGTCCTTTGTGTCTGTAATATGTATTTCTTCTTCGTTCATAAATGAAAAATTCTCCTTGTTATCGTCATATTATCTCTGCTTATCGTTGCTACTACTAATGATTTGAGTAGATAGTCACTAAATTTTTTGTAGATCTTACTCTAACTATTGTTGTACTTGCCAAACCGAATATTTTGGAGACTTAAAGAAAGAAAGAAAAGAGAAATCTTTGAGATACAGTTTAAAATTGCCACCCTCTTAATTTTGTAACGTTACCAAAAATCTCTGCAAGAGCAAGAACCATCTTTGAACCTATGAAATCGAACTCGATCCCTAACAATGATCTCTCTCTTATAAATCTTTGAAATATGTTTAAAAACAACGTGACAGTCCCCACAAATTCTCAGGTTGTTTATAACTCTCACCGGACTCTCCTCGTCAGCACCATCCATCATCATCAGTCCGTAGGCAACCGCCAATTTCTCGCTGTGATAGCACAAAGCGTTCTCTTTCTCTTCCTCTCCTATGTCGTGCAACACAAGTCCCGTCTGCGCCACGTAACCATCCTCCCTTATCTTGAACCTGTCCTCACAACCAAAACATAAGAAAGAAGTAAATCCAAAAGCATTAGAAATTTGCCAATCTCAGCTGTTAGATTTTGCTGTGTCCTATACCTGATCTCGTCGATCTTCTCATAAATCTCTCTCCACTGTTCATGGCTCTTGTCACTGTTGTGGAATTGATGAATCGTTCCTTTGGCTTCTATGTAGCTAATTCCGGGAACTTTCTTCACTTGTTTGCTTTCCATATCATCTCTCACTAGTCCTACGTCCTTCCACCGTCCCTGAGCTGCATAAACGTTTGATAGCAACACAAAATCACCGTCATTGTTAACACCCATTTCCTTAATTTTCCTAGAAGCTATCTCAGCCATTTCGACGTTATTGTGAATCTCTGAAGCTCCAAGAAGGCTCTGCCACAAAACAGGATCCGGAACCATCGACATCGAACATATAATGTCGTGAGCTTCTCTCAGCCTTCCTGCACGGCTTAACAGATCAACTACACAACCGTAATGCTTCATGTTAGGCTCAACTCCGTTACAAGCCATGTTGTTGAATATAGATATACCATACTCCACTAATCCTGTGTGTCTACACGCGGTTAGAGCAGCTAAGTACGAGACATCATCAGGCTTAATGCCATTATGCTCCAACTTCTCGAAAATCTCCAACGCTCTGTGTGCTTCTCCGTGCACTGAAAACCCCGTAATCATAGTGTTCCATGTTACAACACTCTTCTTACCCGTGAATTGTTCAAACACTTGAAAAGCTTTATCAACAAACCCACATTTCGAATACATATCAATAACCGCGTTACTAACAATCACATTATGATCCAACTTTTCATCTTTAATGTACCCATGGAGAATCTTTTCACCTTCCTTAACATCACCCAAATGAGAACAAGCTCCCAAAGCAGCAACAACAGTTACTTCACTTCTTCGAATCCCTTCCATTTCCATTCTTTTATACAACTCCAACGCCTCACTCGCTCGATTCCCCGCCACTAACCCCGCAATCAACGCATTCCACGACGCAACATCTCTCACAGACATTTCATCGAACAACTTCAGCGCACTAATCAAATCCCCATTTTTAGAGTAAGCATCAAGCAACGTAGTACAAAGAAGCGCATCAGCGGAGAATCCACGACGACTAATCTGACAATGAATCTGAACCATAGCGGAAGAACAAAGCGCACGAGCACAAGCTTTAAGAGTGAAAGAACAAGTCAAAGCATCGACTCTACACAAAGCCGATGACGACGATCGCTGCAACATGGAACGATACCATGAAAACGCAAGTGAAGGATGAGAACTTCCGGCGAATCCGCGGATGATTGCGTTCCAGTCATTGGTTAAAGGTTTAGGGATGTGACGGAAGATTTTTACGGCGAAGGAAAGGTCGCCGAATGGTGAGATTGCGCAGCGTTCGAGAAGACGAGAACGGAGAAAGGAAGATTGGAAATGGCCGGCGGTGAGAAAATGAGATTGGAGTTGTTTGATTTGGGAGAAGGTGACGCAATTTTGTATCATCGTCTCCATGTAAACACGAGCCATTCCATTGACGGAGCTGCACCAAATTAAACCGGGCTCACGAATTAATTGGTATAAGGGATTATTTTTACCGGTTTTGTTTTTTTTTTCGCAAATTGAAACCGAAATCAAACCAAAAATGATTTTTCAATTGAAATCTTAATTTTTTTTTTCTTTTCCAACCACATATTAATTAAAAATTTACTCCATGATTGGTTGCCCAATTAGGATCTAGGAATATATTTTTATTTACTGAAATTACTTTTGTAAATTTTAAAACATTCTTTAAAATGAAAAAAAAACAATTTGCTAAAATTCAAATTGGAACCAAAATCCATATTAAAGGTTACAGACAGAACTCGATTTATTTGGGTGAATAGACAAAAATAAAGATAAACTAAAATTTCGCTCAAAAAAATAAATTGATCACAAGTTTTATACTAATTTTGATTTTTGACATTAAGTTTGCAAAGAAACACATGAAGCAGAGAACAACCAAAGGAAAACGAAATACAACTACAGCTTGTAGCGACAACCAGAAATCAAAGCGAAAGCGTAAATAGACAGTATATACCATATGAGAGGAAGAAAAGGCTATCAAGATCGCTTATACGCAGTTCTCAAACACAACTAGTCTTGTAGTGCTCTTGTTCATAATACTCTACAAACAGGCTTGGCCCTTCACCTATTTTGGTGAATCATTTGTATTGGGCTTCAAATTTCCCAGGCTGTGAAATTTTTTTTTTTTTTGAGACTCCAAATTAAAAGATAGGCCTAAAAGAGGCCTCAAAATTAACAAAAAAACTCCATAATTGGCAAAAAAGCCTCATAATTAGCAAAAAAAATCTATAATTAGCAAAAAATCTTTAAAATTAAGAAAAAATGTTAAATAAAAATTATAAATGCCCCACAATTAGTAAAAAAAGTTTGTTTTAGCAGTTTTTACTTTTAGAAAAAGCCCCAATTTTTTTTTTCGTATTCGGCCCCGGATTTTACCGTACCAGCACTGTCTTCAAGATACCCTTGAATCGAGATTAATTTTATTATTGGGACATGGGTGCTCTTGTTCTTCTATATCTGTGTCGTTTTTACGGGACCGGGGCACCCTCGGATTTCGGTTTCTTCATGGTTGAATGTGTGAGTCATGTCTTTGGGCTCGGTCTCTTCGTTTTGCTTCTCTATTTTATTCCTCCCATGCTTGCTTTATGTATTGGAATACCCTCTTCAATATGGCTTATTGTCATTTGTTGCATCTGTGTCTGTGTCTGTGCCCCTGAAGAGGACTTGGAAGAAGTTATTCATTGCATAATAAATACAAGTAAACGCACTAAAACATTATTCATCATTAATGAAACTTTGGAAATTTCCTGATATTTTCTTACTTTTTTAATTAATTCTTCTTTACAATATACAAATACAAGATAACTAAGCCAACAGGGTGATAAAGCCCACATGAAACCTGTAAATGATAAATATCACACTCACAAGTAAAATAGTTAAGAGTTTATGTTATATTCTCTACGTTTCAAAATATAAGATGTTTTGGAAGTTTTATTTTGTTTCAAATATAGGAGGTTTTTACATCCCTTTACAAAAGAAATAATAAAAAATAATATATTTAAAAAGTTTGAAAGGAATCAAATGATTGTTTCTCTTTTATTTGATTTCATCGAAAGTTTTTATTTATAAATTAGTATTTTGATTAAAAGCACAACTTTTCTTAATCTTGTGCTAGCTTCCAACACATCTTACATTTTGAAGCGGGGGAAGTAAATATTAAAAAACAACTTTAGCCATGATCTAACTTGAGTAAAAAAAACTTAATATCTTAAGAACTTTTTAGATAACTTGATCTTTACAAAGGAATACAACTTGTATTAAATAGAGAGCTTTTAGCTGATTTGGGGATCAAGTTTTGACAAATGTAAATTAATCATCTTTTAAAAGACGCAAAGCATCAAATTTGTTAACGAACTACGATCTTGTTGCTGGTGAGCAATGGTCCTCACTTGATGATCTTCTTTAGATGATGTGTTGTGTACTGCTCGGCTTGCAGCATATGTTGTCTTCATAAGATCAAACTTAAGATCCTCTACATGGTCTACAAATGCGTAAACTTAATGATCATCAAACCATTCTTCCCCTTCTTGTTTAACAACACCTTGGATTTCAACACTTAGTAGAGTGTTCCTTTCGGGATTAAAATAGAAAACATAAAACGGTTTACGTGCATTATTCTTCACCAAAACAATTTCACCTGAAGCAGTCACCCCAACAACGAAAATATAGTCGCCATCCTTGAGGACTCTATTCTCAGTCCTCAAAGTGTAGGTATATGTAGACCATTCATGTTTATCGGCATTCTCTAGAACCCAAAAATGTAACTTAAACCGGGCCTTGTGGCCTAGTGGTAAAGGGGTCACAGCTGTGACTTCCGCTACCAGGGTTCGAGGCATGGCCACTGGCGGATTTACATGAGGGAATCGCCAGCTCCTCGGGATGTGGGGTACCCTAGGGCAGATGACGCATGTGGGTCCCACGCTAGTCGGTTCCACCTCGGTGGGGCCGGACACCCGAGTTATCAAAAAAAAAAAAAAAAAAAATGTAACTTAAGGGGAAATCCACTTTCATACTTCATACTAATCATACCTAATTTACCCTTATAGTTTATCAATTTAATAGAACAACCATACGTTAGATATCGAAGTTTAAACTTCTCAGACCTAACATCAAAGCAAACTAAACGATAATCCTCAAAAC